ATGTTTGTGTTATTTTTATCAAAAATTTCGGTTTAATTTGGTAAAACTAAAATCAATTTTTATTAATTAGTTTAGATGTAAATGAAGATTTAAGAATCATTGATTTATAATGAGAGTTTACCGCCTTTCTGTATTTTTACTTCGAGAATTACAAACATAACCTCAAAAATTTTTGCTTCTCTTTCTTCAGAGAGCGTCATATATTTATAATATATATATATATTTATATTTATATCTATACTGTAAAAGGAAAATAAGGATAGAAGATAGCTGATTAAAAAAGACTACTTTTGGACTTCCGGTACGACTCTTATGCAAAGATTGAGTGGCAAACATCGCAAAAACCCGGCCACCCATTTTTTTTTCGACAAAGTTTGTGCGGCGCTTACACTAAATACATACCTGATCCTACTTGAAGTCCAAGCGCTTTTTTGGGTATCTCTACACACGTCTGATACGAATTAGGAATGTTTAAACTACATAATAAGTACCGTTTGTTGCTGATTCTGCCTTGCTTTGTTTTCAGTCTTTTCCTCTGTATCGTCGTCCGTCAGGAATTCCCTCTTTGGATAAGGAATTGGACAGCCGGCGAAAATACTGCAAGAAAAATATTGACAATTTTCATTCGTTTACTTTTTCAAAAATTTTCATTAAAACTATGTATTTTTATTATTAAAAACTTACTTTCAAAAAAAATCAAAAACGAAAATCTATTTTCTATCGCTTTCAAATTAAAATTTTCTGAAACTTTCAGATTTTCAAAAAATTCGAAAGAAAAAATTTAAATAGAATTTTAAAAAATATATTTCAGAATTTAGAAATTATGAAAAAATGAAACTTTTTCTTACTCTTGAGTAGGTAGTGGTTCCTCCAAAAAATATGGGTCCTGCATCGACTGCTCGGATGTGATTCTTTTATTAGGATCCATCGCCAACAGTCTTTGCAACTAAAAATTCAAAAACAACAAAACATCAATTTTTTTTTCAATAAAAAAATACAAATTCAAAAGTGAAAAATATTAAAGTAAAGAAAATTCTCACCAAAGCAAACGCTTTGCTGTCGGGTTTAATTTTATGTCGATCCATATATTTCGTTAGCGAACAATTTGCATAACTGGAAACAAAGCAGAACAATAATTTTCAAATAATTATTATTGGCGGACAATAGAAAAAAATCCCTATTTCATTAGCATTTAAAGAGCTGCAGAAATGAATAATAAAAAAACAATTAATAATAAAAATACTGAAAATAGCAAATAAATAAAATTAGTAAATTTCTTTTTGATAAAAAAATAACATAATTGGGTGGAAAAAAAATAGTTTTTCTTGAATGAACTGAAAAAAGCGATTTAAAAAAAAAAGATGTAAATTCCATAAACAATTAACAATGAAAAGAGAAACTTACTTGGATCGTTTAAAATCTTTCAGCAAAGTTGGGTGTTCAGGCATTTTTTTAATATCTTCCCAATCTTTCTCCATTGGGAACCCCATTACGTTAAATATCCTGAAACAAGAAAAATAATTGGATACAGAAAAAATAAAATTATTAAAGTAAAATTATACGAAAAAATTCATGTCATTAGTTCAAATTTAAAAAAATTTAAATTTAAAGAATAAGTTTTGTGATAATATTATTGAAAAAAAAAAATTCTCCACAATTTTGTGCTAATGAGTGAAATTTTTTCTATTTTAAAAGACAATATTTTTTATAACATTTTATATTAATTTTCATATTACTTTTTGTAATTTTTTGTTAACATTTTATAATTTTTGAACCTGAAATAAATGAAAGAAATAAAAGAAAATTAAATATTTATCAAGTAAAAAATGTTTCCTTTCAAATTTACCTATCCAATTGATCGTGATGATATGGATTGCTAGTTTTAATATCTTCTTGTCTACAGTGGAATATTGGTTCAGACGTTAATAATTCAGCGAAAATACAGCCGATTGCCCAAATATCTGTAAAAATGTATTAATTAGAAAAATTAATATAAATGACAAATCCAACAGTCGATAATAGTTATCAAAAAATAATTATTATACCTTAATGCTTACTTTAAATAATAGTTGTTCACTATTTCATCTACAAAATAAATTTTAAATTACCAATTGCCTTTGTGTAATGCCTCGCACCCAAAAGTAATTCAGGAGCTCGATACCAAAAAGTCACTACAACCGGATCCAAATCGGCAAGTGGCTTTAATGGCGCATTGAATAATCTCGCGAAGCCCATATCAGCAATTTTCACACGACCCCTTTCATTTCCCTCTCCCATCACTAAAATATTCGCCGGTTTCTGAAATTATAAACAATTTCAAGTTAAAGAAATAAAAACTTTAATTAAAAATAGGTGAAAATAAAAAATAGATAAAAAACATTTAATAATAAAAAATATTCAATAATAAAAAATACCTTCTCTTATAATGAGAAATACCTTTCCTTATTTTTAAAATAGAAAAAAAAATTATTAATTACCAAGTCCCTGTGAAGAACCCAATTGGAATGCAAATAATGAATACCGTCTAGAATTTGATACAGTAAAGATTTCACCATTCCCTTAGGCACTAAGACAGTTTTCTTGTTTGCCTTAGCCGCCCTATGAAATTTGATAATATGCTAAATGAAGAAAAGGAAAAAAGAAGAATTAATATTATTTAAAAATAATTTTAAAAAATGAATATTGATCAAGTGGAAAAAAATAGTTTTTGTAATTCATACCCATAAATCGTGCTCTGCAAAGTCAAAAAGTAACCAGACCTTTCTGTCTGTATGTGAGAGAAATACGCGTATCAGAGTTATCACATTAATATGTTTTAATTCCCTGAGTAACTGAAAATATAATTTCAATTTCAGATAATGTTTTTCAATATTATAATAATTGTTTATCATTTCTTATAGCAAATAGTAAATTTTTAAATAAATTCTCTGCAAATGACACAAATCTAAATTTTGTAAATTAGCGAAAATGGAAATAAAAAAAATGAAAATACTTACTGCGATCTCGCGACAAGCAGACATAGAAAGCCCCGTGCCTTCAATTTGCTTTAATCCGAAATCTTTAGTATCTGGTCGTGATTTCAGTTCACTGTCTGGAACTCTGAAGAGTTTGAGGTTTATTGAAACGATTTTTTTTTCTTTGAAACACATTTCATGTTTTCACGTAAAACAAGATAGAAATAAACTTTATATTATACAATTCTTTTTAAATTCCCAAAAAAAAAAAATTATTCCAATAAATAAAAATGAGAGAGTTTATATTTTTCACTCGCTAGTCTTATATTACTTATTCTGGTATTTTTTTTAAATTTGAATATTTATACGATATAAAAAGTAATCATGAATAAATAATTTATAAATTAATTAAATTAAATTACTTCAATTAATTAAATAAATAATAATTTTAAATAAATTTAAAATAAAACGATAATTTAAAATTTTTTTAAACTTTAAATAGTTTGAGATTAATTAGTTTGATGTCAAAAACTCATAATTTATTAAATTAAAAACATTTACAATTTTTACTGTTAAATTATTTTAAACTCAATAAACATTAAAAATTTTTAATTCAAAAAAATTTAAATTGAAAGTATTAAAAATTTCTAATTTAAAATAATTAAAACAGGGATGAAAAAATCATGATTTTAAAAAAAAAATTCGATCTTTTTTCATTTAAATATGATTTTTTTTTATTTAAATCAATTTTTTTGATACTATTTTTTAAATATTTATTTTTAAGTAGTTCGTTTTTTTTAATATTAAAAATTATAAAATTAATTGAAATTATATTAAATTAAATTTGTATTATAAAAAAGTAATTCCGAAGGAAATTAAACAATTTAAAATCGTGTTTAATGAGATTTAATAAAAAAAAAATTTTAATACAAATCTAAACTGACATTTATTTTTAAATTTAATTTTTACTTTTATAAATTGTGTCTAAATAAAATTTTTTAATTTAAATTAATTTAATATTTGAAATAACGAATTTAGTAGGTATTAAAAATTATTAATACTAGAAATTTAAAATATAATTTAAAGTCAAGAATGTTTAAAAAAATTTAATTAAAAACTAATCACACGAATTTTTACATGAAAAAAATGTGACAAAAGGAAAATTTAAGAAATCCGGAGACAAATAACATTTTTTTATCAAAATATACAACAAAAAAAAGTTCTTGAAAATTTTTTTTTTTTAAATATTCGCAAAACATATAATCAATGATTGTACGAAGTTCACAGGGAGAAAAAAATGGTGATTTTTATCGAATGGCTTCAAAATATAAAAGAAAAGCCTTTACAAACTAAAGTGCCCAACCCCAAAATCGAAATCATTTCCTCAGAGCTCAGTTTATCTCCAATGTAATTCTGAAGAAACATTCTTTTTTTAGTCTATTTTTTGACAATAGTAAAATAGAAAAATAAGAGAAAAAAAGCAAAAAAATTGACTCTAATTCTGAAAATTTTCTCTGATAATAGAAAAATGCCGAATGTAAAACTAACCCTTCTTTTCTGCGAGCTTTGTAGACGTGTCCATAAGTACCTCGGCCCACTTTACATCCTTCAAATTCAAATAAATCTTCAACCTTCGTCCGATCTTTTTGGGTTTTCATTTTAAATTCATAATCCATCATGATTAATTAAATATAGACTAATTATCAACTAAAAAAAAGCATTTTTGCCCACTTTAAACTCGTCGCTGATTTTTTGATGGTCTGTCTGCAAAGGTGTCTGTCTCCTCGCAGCTGCTCATTTTAGTTGAGAAAATTATACACCGACAAATAGAAGGCGCTGCTAGTTTATTCTTTTACCGCGCTTTTTAAATTAATCTTCATATTTTGCTTCTTTATACACAAAAAAAGAGAGTAAAATGAAATAATATATTAATTTTCAACTATAACATTATTATTTTCCTTTCCTATGAGTAAAACAAAATAGCGAGAATCAATTCTTACAAAGAAGAAATTATTTTTTTTTGTTTTGTTGGCAAATGCGCATTAACGCCAAAAGGAACAGAAGTGAAGTGACGTTTCGTCTTGTGCGTGAAAAATTTTTTACCGGTTACTCTCACTTCTTTTTTAAAAAAATCCTTTTTGCATATTTGAAGGGAGTATTTTTTCTCAATTGCTTCTGACAATTTTCTTAAATGTTATCAATACGTGAGTATAAAAAAATATTGGTTTTTGATAAATTCTAATTGTTTATTCGTGATTAGGTTGACAACAAGGGTTTTGTTTATTATTTAACGATTTTAAACAAGAGGATCGATGATTGTTTTTGAATTTATAGTTTATTTTAGTTCATTTCTTTTACTAAATGTAACAAATTTCGAGAATTATTGACCTTTTTTGTGTGTGTAATTTTATTGATTTTGTTATATATAGTTGTGGGAAGAGGTTATGTTAACCTTGAATTTTTTTCCGTGAACCACGTTTTTTGTTAGGGTAGAGCGGGGCTAGTTGAGCATAGGGGTAAGTTGAGCAACCGAAATATCTCAGGCTCTATAAATTAGCGGCCAATTTATAGAGCCTGAGATATTTCGGTTGCTCAACATACCCCTATGCTCAACTAGCCCCGCTCGCTACCCTATTATTGTTGCTGTGAACAATAATAAAAATACAATATTCAGTAAAATATACAAAATATATATATATATATATATATATATATATATACATAAAAGAAAAACATACATATAAAATAGTATTCATAAGATATTTTCAACAATGATAAATAATCCGCAATATTACAATCATCAAAAATTTATCAATGACAAGACTCATGTGAAATGATTAAATTAAAATTCAAAACTGTAAATAATAATTAACTTTTTTAATAATTTTTCTTTTTAAATATTTCCAATTTATAAATTAATATATTGAAAATCATGGAATTGTTGCAAAGAATTTTATCAAAAAATTTGATAATAATTAAATTCCTTCGAAGAATTTTATTATTTAGAAAAATATGGAGTTTTTTCAATAATTTTAATTAAAAAAAAATTTTATAACGAATTAAGAAAAAAATTGAATTCTTTCCTGAAATTTTTATGAAAATAATTGAATTTTTGCAAAGAATTTTACTGTTTACAAATATAATTGCATTGATTCGAAGGATTTATTAAAATTGTATAGAAAATAATTGAATTTTTTCGAAAAATATTATTAAAAATTAAAAACAAAATTGAATTCTTTTATGAAATTTTATTAAAATTTTGTTTAAAAATAATTGAATTTTTGCAAAAAAATTTTAATATTTATAAAAATAATTTAATTCTTACGAAGAACTTTATTATTTATGAAAATAATTGAATTCTTGCGAAGAATTTTATTAAAATTTTTGAAATTAATAATCAAGTATAATTAATTAGTAAATTAGTTAAGAATTAAATTTTTTTAAAGTTTGAACCTGAAATTATTCAAAAATTCATATTTGAAAATAAAAAATTTTGTAATTTGCATAATAATAATAAATTGAATTGAACAATCGCCAACCTATAAATAAACATTTATAGGATTTTAAAATTAATTTTTTTTAAATTTGTAAATGTAAAAATTAAAAAGGTAAATTGATAGGTAGTGTTATTCATATATTTTAATCATTGTCCAAATGTTTTCGTTTTGTTTACCTTGTTTTATTATTTATGAAAATAATTTAATCGTTTTGAAGAATTTTTCGAAACAAATGGAGTTCTTTTTTTAAAATTTTAATTGAAAATTTTGAACGTAATTGAATCTTAAGAAGAATTCTTTTTAGTTTTTAAAGTAATCGTGCTTGTTAAAAATTGAAATTTAACATTTGATTTTAAAATTTTATTAAAATTTTTGAGAAATAATTCTTATCACAAATTTTTTTTTACAAAATTTCGAAATAATTGAATTTTTTCAAAGAATTTTATTTAAATATAGAAAGTAATTGAATTATTCAATTTTTTTTTAATATAGTCGATTTTTTCATAATTGTAATTAATGTGATTTTATTTAAAAATTTTAATAAAATTCTTGGGAGTATTCTGTCGAAAAAGTTTAGAAAATAACATAAATAATAATTGTAAATTTTTTAAAAATTTTGAATCCTGAAGTATTCGAAAATTGAAGTTGATATTTGAAATAAAGAAATTAAAAATAATTATTATTCATTATAATTTTGTTTTTTACAGACAAAACATTTAGGAACTTTTTTAGAAATTTCGTTTCACGACGAGATTCTAAAAGAACATTCACAGTTTGCGTCGAGGGCAATATAGGTAGTGGAAAAACAACATTTTTAAATAATTTTAAAATTTACAATAACACTGCCGTTCTTCAAGAACCCGTTCAACTTTGGCGCAATGTTGCTGGAGAAAATTTATTGGTAATGTTTGTTTGAAAAAAGAAAAGAAAATAAAAACTAAAGGGTCACTCCACTGACTTTCGTCTGGGGGTTGTTGCGGCTATATTTTGAAAAAATCTGGTTTCAAAATATGTAAAACTAGAAGACTTCCTGATTCCATTAACCACAATATTGTTCCGAAAATTTTATTTTTTTAAATTTTATTATTAATCAAAAGTTGGCCTCTCAGAGTGTTATTTTGTAACCTTAAATTTTGCACTTTTTTAAAATCGTTTTTATTCAATAATTATTTTATGTCATATAACAGAACTTACCAAAAGCATAAATCATTTGATGGTGAATCAGGAATCGAAGCAATTACTATGAAAATATATTATTTTTAATTAATAAAGCGAAATCGAAAATTTTTTCTACAAAAAAATTTTCCGATTTTCTGAAGACTATAACTTTTTTCTCAATGCTCCTAAAATTTCAATCTTCTCCGTGTAGCTTAAAAGTAATATAATTTACTCAATACTAAAATTTGACGTATGTGTTTTGCTTCGTTTTTGAGAAATTAATTTTTTAAATTATTCACTTAAAAAGGTTAATTTTAGGACTTGAAGTTAACCGACCAATTTCACATCACTCTATTTACACGTTGAAATTCGATGAGAATTGTATAAAATTAACCTTTTTAAGAAAATAAATTAAAAAATAAGTTTTTTAAAAACGAAGCAAAACACATACGTCAAATTTTAGTATTGAGTAAATTATATTACTTTTAAGCTACACGGAGAAGATTGAAATTTTAGGAGCATTGAGAAAAAAGTTATAATCTTCAGAAAATCGGAAAATTTTTTTGTGGAAAAAATTTTCGATTTCGCTTTATTAATTAAAAATAATATATTTTCATGGTAATTGCTTCGATTCCTGATTCACCATCAAATGATTTATGCTTTTGGTAAGTTCTGTTATATGACATAAAATAATTATTGAATAAAAACGATTTTAAAAAAGTGCAAAATTTAAGGTTACAAAATAACACTCTGAGAGGCCAACTTTTGATTAATAATAAAATTAAAAAAAATAAAATTTTCGGAATAATATTGTGGTTAATGGAATCAGGAAGTCTTCTAGTTTTACATATTTTGAAACCAGATTTTTTCAAAATATAGCCGCAACAACCCCCAGACGAAAGTCAATGGACTGACCCTAAAACATTTTTTTTAAAATTAAATTAAATATTTAATAAAATACATTCTTTTTTTATTCAAAAAACAAATTTTTAACATTAACATAGTTATTTTAAATTCAAATAATTCTCAATTCAAAAATTGTTTTCAATTTAAGTTTTAATAATTTTGTTTAATGATTTTTCGTTTATTATATTTATTTTTTGCTTATTAGATTCATTTATAAATTTTTTCTTTATTATAATTTATTTATTTATTTATTTATTATTATAAACGGGTTTACAAAATCATACCCTTTATAAAGAAAAAAAAGACACATATTCATTACAAAAATAGCGCTGTAAATATTACTCAATCAATAACAAAAACGTGTATAAAAATTTAACAAAGTTAGTCAAGTTTTGGTATTTAAGTGCTTAAAAAGCTCCTGTGCAAATTGACTTTTAGAAACGTTAAAAAAGTCTACACTTTGGGCATGATTAGTTTATTATATTTATTTATTTTATGTTTGTTATATTTTATACATTAATTTTTTTGTTTATTAAATTTATTAACTTTTTTTGTACTATTAATAATTAAAAAGAAAAATATTTATTTATAAACAATTTTTTATTTTTTTTCAGGAATTAATGTATAAAGACGCGGATCGTTACGCTTGTTTATTTCAGTCCTACGTACAATTAACAATGGTTCAATTGCACGCATTAAACACTTCACAACCTTATAAAGTAATGGAGAGATCTGCGTATAGTGCACGACTATTTATCGAAAATATGAAGCGTAATAAAACATTAAAAGACGTTGAATTATACGTTTTAGAAGCATGGTACGATTGGTCCATTCAAAATTGTGATATTGAAACCGATTTAATTGGTAAGTATTTTTTTGCCTCTCGACCAAGATAAAAAATGTTTCTTTAACCCCTTCACTGTCAGTGGGCTCTATAGAGCCATAAAAATGTCGTGCCCTGTATGTCCATGGGCTCTATAGGGCCATCGAAAAAAAAGACATTTAAAAGTTAACGAATATGGCTAAAAATCCTTACTCGGGGGTTTTCGGGGTCGCTGAATCCAAATCCGTTGTCGAAAATTCAAAATTCAAAATGGCGGCTTCAAAATGGTGCCCAAAAAAAATTTTTAAGTTAACGAATCTGTCTAAAAATACCTTAAAATGCCTACTCGGGAGTTTTCTAGGTCGCTGATTCCAAATCCGTGGTCAAAAATTCAAGATTTAAAATGGCTGCTTTAAAAAAGCTAAAAAAAAATTTTTAAGTTAACGAATTCGTTAACTTTTTAATTTTTTTTGGTGGATATTTTGAAGCCGCTATTTTGAATTTTGGCTTTTCGACCACGGATTTTGAATCAGTGACCTCAAAAACATATAATATGACAATATCATGATTTTTAAAAAAAAATTTTTTTTGAACACTTATGGCACAAAAACTTTATTTTCACTCGACTGTGAAGGGGTTAAAAAATACAATTTTAATTTATTTTAATGTTATTATTATTTATTTTATTTAATTTGAATTATTTCAGTGGAAATCTTTTTTTTTAATTAAAAATTAAATTTTTCAGTTTATTTGAGAACATCGCCTGAAATTGTTTACAAACGAATGAGGGAACGAGCGAGGAAAGAAGAAGACTGTGTGTCTCTTGAATATTTAAAACAATTGCATCAAATTCACGACGAATGGCTTTTAGAGAGAAAAATATTTTCCCTCCCAGCGCCTGTAATTGTTTTGAATGGCGACAAAAATTTAGAGGATATGATGTCTGAATTTAATATTTGTAAGGAGAGTATCTATAAGAAACAAAATTCCTGCAAAGCAGACGATGACAAATCCGAAAGGATAAAAAAAATGACAGGATTTTCCCAATGAAGGAAAAATCAATTCTAATTTCCCAATTTTTGAATTTTTGTTTCAACTTTTTATTTAACATTTTTCAAACTTCGTGCTTGACGTTTAAAAAATGCCAAGAATAATTGTTTTTCACCATTGCAAAGGGTGATGTTTTCTCTTAAATTACTTCATCAGTATTATTTCGTAGAAAGAATTTATTAATATTAATATTAATAATATTGATAATTGACTATTTTTGACTGAGTCAAAATTGATCATAGTTACTTATTATTTTATTCTTTTTATACAGTTTATTATAGTTCCTCCAAAATATTTATCAACAGATTTTATTATGAACAAATTGGAAAAAAAATATTGTGTAAATTTTTGTAAATATTTTAAATAGATATATAATGGTCACACACAAAAAAAATGTATCAAAAGACAAAAAATGTGAATTCCGAAAAATATTTTTTACAAAAGGTTATAATAAAAAACAATTTGAACGAAATTTTCATTAAAAAGCCTTTATTCAACTAGTTAATAAAAATGGTAAAAAATTTGGCAAGAATATTTCTATGTAGTTTTAGAAAAGCTTTTAAGAAAAACTCGTGTTTCTCAAGAAAAAAAGAAGCCCTTTTCTAAATATAAAGCTCTCTCTCTCTGTTTCTTTCACAATTCCGGACAATATTTTATAAATTCTAGCTTAACATGAAATATTTCATAAATGCAATCAAGCTGAATTCGAATAAAAAAAAAACGAATCACTAATTCTCGAAAACGTTTCTATAATTAAAAAAAAAATCACAATCGTGCAAATTGCAAAGCGTAACAAGGAAATACTTTTGTACATCATGGTTTAATTAAGTTAAATGTGCATAAAAAAAACTCCGCAAATCTCTGGTAACATTGCGCATAAAAAATAAATGAAAATAGAACAAATTAAAAATACAAACTAACGCGTTGGATTAAAGTAAACAAAAACATAAATAGACAACATTTTGAGACGATAATATAGAAAATAAATTCTACATTGAAATTTAAATCCTACGCGGAGTAGAAAAAAAAGCAATAGAGTTAAGGAAAAAATTTCCTTTTGAAAATCTAAAATCGTGCAGAGTCAAAAATTAAAAATATTGTTAAAAAATAAAAAAATCCTAAATACTGGAATGTACAGTAATTAATTAATTGTATAAATAGCGATTGACGACGAAACTAAAATTAAATGACTGACAACGGTAAAAATCTGATGAAAGGTATTTAAATTCTGGAAGCCTTTTTCTTAAATTTAAAATGGAGGCAATGAGGAAAGAAAAAATTGAAGAACACTATACGCATCCGTACTCGTACCAAACTGGACTCGTTTTATCCTTCCTCGGCGGCGAATCAACCAAACTTTCCTCTTGCGTTGAATTCTGTCCCGAATTATTCATATTACTGGAATCATTAATCACCGCTGAGACACGATTGTAAATCAAAAATGGTCGCGTCTCATTTGGCGTTTCAACTCGGGAATTTTGTTCCGAGTCATTAATTCGTATTTCGTCACGTGAATCGTCGAGTCTTTTCTCCCCCTAGAAAAAAGAAGCAAAAAATAATTATAATCTAATGAATCAAAATTGAATCGTTTTTTTAAATTCAAAAAAATAAATAGGACATTTTTTTAATATAATACAAATGAACTCCAAAAAAGGAGCGGAAAAAATTGTAAAGGGATAGTTCACATATATTTTGAACTATATCAAGGAAATAATTTAAATATTCCATAAAGTTGTTTTTTAGTTTTAAAATCTATCAATTAAAATTCCAAAAGGATAATTTTTTTTAACTATTGAAAATTCCTCTCGAAAAATTACCATAAAATCAATTTTATGAAATATTTAAATCATTTTCATGATAAATTGTTAAAAATATAGGCGAACCCTCCCCTAAAATTATCTGATTTATAAAATACTTTTGAAGTGAGAAAAAAATTACAAATTATTGAAATTTTATTTCAAACAATTTAAAAATACGAAAAGGAATTAATTAATTAATTCACCATTAAAGGAGCGGTTGGTGGTGTGTCGTCGGTGTAATAAACAGTTCTTCGAGTTCCTGCATGTCCTAATGACAAGGGATCATTATTGAGATCCGATTCTCTTGTCCCTGCAAAGTATTAATTATATTTCAAAATGTTTTACGAAAAATACTTATTTTAAAAATATTTTTTAAAGAATATTTTTAAAATATTTTTTAAAAAGAATAATATATTTTAAAAGTATATTTTAAGGTAGTACGCTCGTGATAGCACTTTCCTATAGAATTTCATGAAATTTGAAATCAGAGTAGTTAATAACAAGATCTATGTATTTGCAAAATATTAAAAAAATTGACCGTTTCTAAAACAAGATATTTAAGTTCAAAGTTTGTTATTTAACATGGTTAACCTATGAAAAGTGCATGCACGGAGAGAAGGTTGAACGTAAAATCACGGTGTGATCAGAGTCTTAGGCGATGAATGGAAACTCATCATAATTTTCTACAAGATGTAGCGCTCTCTGACGGTTACTGTCACTGCCACTTGCGATTCGTGAATAGAAAAACTCGGTGAAATCACTCAGATTTACCGTGAACTTTCCCCCTCTTTTAACCTTCTGAATTAGACACTGTCTTTTACGGTTCAAATTTCTCTCCGTGTGCAAACGGCACATTTCTTCTAATAACTTCTAAAATTTTCTATAGATTGTTTTAAAAAACTAATATATTATAAATGAATGTTTGAGAAATTTATAACAAAAAGATTTAACAATATTAACCGTTTCAGTTAAAAGATATAATATAATATAATATTCTAAACTGACTAGTATACTTGTGTGTGAGTGTGTCTGTACATGGGGCTGACTATGTATTCAGTACAGTCCAAGCAAAAATATGCTACAGTAACTGCACCATACTATAGCATTTTATTAAAATTTACTTTTGAGAGTGACTGTCGCGAGCGTACTACCTTAAAAAGAATATTTTAAAAGTTTATTTTAAGAAGAATATTTTAAAAGTTCATTTTAAAAAAAATATTTTAAAAATATTCCTTTAAAGGAATATTTTAAAATATTTTACAAAGAATATTTTTAAAAAAATTTTACCAACAAAATTATTTTATGTAAAATAAAAAAAAATCGAGACTGACCTGATAATCCCTGATCGTCAACACTAACGTCGGAATCGTTACCTCCAGATTCAGATTCGCAGGGTTTTCCTTCTGGTTGTTTAACATCCTCTGCCCATGATCGACGATTCTAAAATTTTTTTAAATTAAAAATCAGAAAATTACATTAAATCTTATTTCTAATATTCCAAACTTACGAAATTCATTATTAAAAAAAAATTGTAAGAAAACAAAATAACCAAAATTTTATTGTTTTCAAATACCTATCGAATGATAATTATAAAATAAAATTATGAAATATAAATTATTTAATTAATTATTAAAATAATTTTTCAATCTATTCATTTTGTTAAATTTTTATTATTATTACTATTATCGTTATTTTTCAGTAATTATTATTATTATTATTTACTATTTTTTTACCTTGTTGAGTAAATCAGAACTTGCTTTTCTCACTTTTCGTACTAAACTGGCGCCGAAACCTTTTCTGAAATAAAAAAAGAATTGGGCTTACACAAGAAGCAAACTCAAAGCAAAAAAGAAAAATTTTAAAAATTAAAATTATAAAAAAAACATACTTTTTTGTTGAACAACTGCCCATATTTCGATAGTGTTCCATTATTTTTTCCTCAAGTTTCACTTTCTGTCTGTTCATGTGATTCAGTTTGTCTCTGCGTTAAAAGAAACGAAATTAGCACATTATACAACGAAGAAGAAAAGTAAATGATATTAACATCACGATTTTCGCAAATACGAGAAAAATCGTTTTATCAACGCATAAAAGATAAAAAACATATTTCTATCAAAAAACAAAATTTCGATGCATGTATTAATAGAATTTTATTTAAAATTAAAAAATTTTAAAGATGCAAATTAAAATTTTTAAACTTACGCAAAACTTTTCTCCTCAGCGTAAAAATGCTCTTTATCCTCCAATGTGTGCATAAAAAGATCTTGATATTGATTTAAGAGAGCGCTCGCATGTTCCATTAATGTTCGTCTATCGTTGTCGATACCAGAATTTATTTGTAATAATGCCTAAAAAAGAAAATACAATTACAATAATTATTATAAATATACCCAAATTGAATAATAATTTATATACCGGAATAAATTTATTTTGTTTACAAATTTCACATTAAATACAAATTTTCAAAAATTTTTATAAAATTCGTCGCAGAATTGAATTATTTTTTTAAATTATAAAATTCTTCAGAGGAATTCAATTATTTTTCAATAAAATTTTAATAACATTTCTTTTTAGAGAATTCAATAATTTTAAGAAATTTGAATAAAAATCATTTTCAAAAATTTTAATAAAATTCTTTAGATGAATTTAGTTAATTTTAAAAGAATTTTTATTAAATTCTTCTTAAGAATTTAATTATTTTCAAAAGTAACAGAAATAAATTAGTATTTTTTCAAAACTCACCTCACATCGTTGATTTAATTTATTGTTCTGCAATTCCAAATTCGAACATCTTTCATCTTTTGTACTCACTTCAGACTGTATTTCCAATAATTTCTTATTCAACGTATGCGCCTCAGTTTTATTCTTCAAATAATCTTCGTGTCGACTTTTGTATTCCATTTTTAATTGCTCGACATTAGTGTATAAAATTCTAAAGTCCTCCTAAAAGGAAAAATAAAAAAAAATTACTTTTATGTTTAAAAAAAGGCAAATATTCTGAAGTTTCAATTCTTTATCTAGACACTTTAGAAAAACAGGTAAAAATAGTCAAATAAAGACAGATTTTTTTTTAATCTATTTAAAAAAAAAGATTTTTAAGTAAATTTTTCACCTTTAATTTTGAATGCTCAACCCTCAAATTGTTTAAACTCTTTGCATTTGTCACTAGTGTATCACGCTCGGTTTGTAATGCTTTGGTCTTTCCCTCGAGTCTCTCACATGTTTCGCGTAAAATTCTTGATTCATTTTTAACGTCCCTCAAATTTCCCTTTAATGTTTCGCGTTCCTGAAGAAGATTTTCATATTCGTTGCTTAATTGTTCGTGAAGCGATTGCAATGTGACTTGATCATGAACTAATCGAGAGTGCGTTCTCTGATGAACTGCTCTCTCCTTCAAAAGCTGTGAAAATATAAAAAGAATTCAAAATATTTTAGCAACACTAAATTAATAAATTTTATAACTTTTTTTAAATAGAATAATAAAAAAATTATTTTTACAATTCATTTTAATTATAATATAATAATTATTATTTAACCTCAATTTTTTTAATAAACTTTCCCCGAAGTAAATTTTTCAGAATTTTTGTTTGCTTTTCGAAAATAATATATACGATTAATTAGTTAATTTTTAATTTAGTTAATTAATTTTTAGTTAATTAGTTAGGAGCAATGTTAAATAAATAAATAAATAAAGATAAAATATAATAAATAATTCTTAAGTAAATAATGAATAAACTTAATTTTTTTAATTTATAAATAATATTTTTTTATTAAATTAATTAATTTTTTAAAATTAATTTCATGGGGTAATTTTATGGGAAAAAATGAAAGAAAATAAAAACCTCTTCTTTCTCAGCGACCAATTGGGAATTTGCCAATTGCAATGCAGTGTGTTGAGTTGTCAACGATGTACTTTGAGATTCTAAGGTCGTTACGTAAACCTGCAATTTTGCATTCTCGGCTAAAAGATTTTCTGATGTCGCTTGATTCGTTATTAATTTAGTTTGTAAATTTTCTTGCTCCTTCTGCAAATGAAATATTTAATTTTTAAAAAAAATCGATTATTTTCTCTTTATTTTCATAAAAAGATTCAATTTCTATTTTCTACATACAATTATTATTTATTAATATAAATATTTATAGACTGTTTAATTTATAAATCAAACATATTATGTATGAAAAATTCATCAATTTATATTAAAATTTAAATTTTACAAACTTAAAATATTATTATTAATTTTATTATAACTATTAAATTTTAATATTTATTGTTTCCTTAATTAAAAACATATATTTAGAAAAATTGTACTAATCGATTCCGGGCATGGAAACACATATTCTGTTGTCATTGTTAAATACTTTTTACTCCTCTCACTCCCACCCCATTTATCTCCTTTTTTCTATTTCGTAACTTTGGTCTGTCGTTTGTCTTGTAATTTTTGTTCTCGTCGTCAGTCGTGTTCGTCGTTGTCGCCGCCTCTTTTCGGATCTAATATTTTGCTTGTTTTAAAATTCAATTGTGAAAAATTGTACTAATCGATTCCGGGCATGGAAACACATTCTGTTGTATTTGTTACATACTCTTTACTACTCTTAATCCCACCTCATTTATCCCTTTTTTCTATTTCGTAACTTTGGTCTGTTGTTTGTCTTGTAATTTTTGTTCTCGTCGTCAGTCGTGTTCTTCGTTGTCGTCGCCTTTTTTCGGATCTAATATTTTGCTTGTTTTAAAATTCAATTGTGAAAAATTTTACTAATCGATTCCGGGCATGGAAACACATTCTGTTGTATTATTTGTTAAATACTTTTTACTCCTCTTAATCCCACCCCATTTATCTCCTTTTTACTATTTCGTAACTTTGGTCTGTCGTTTGTCTTGTAATTTTTGTTCTCGCCGTCAGTCGTGTTCTTCGTTGTCGTCGCCTTTTTTCGGATCTAATATTTTGCTTGTTTTAAAATTCAATTGTGAAAAATTTTACTAATCGATTCCGGGCATGGAAACACATTCTGTTGTATTATTTGTTACATACTCTTTACTACTCTTAATCCCACCTCATTTATCCCTTTTATCTATTTTGTAACATTGGTCTGTCGTATGTCTTGTAATTTTTGTTCTCGTCGTCAGTCGTGTTTGTCGTTGTCGTCGCCTTTTTTGTATCAAACATTTTGCTTGTTTTAAAATTCAGTTGTAGAAAATTGTACTAATCGATTCCGGGCATGGAAACACATATTCTGTTGGTATTGTTAAATACTTTTTACTCCTCTTAATCCCACCCCATTTATCTCCTTTTTTCTATTACGTAACATTGGTCTGTCGTATGTCTTGTAATTTTTGTTCTCGTCGTCTGTCGTGTTCGTCGTTGTCGCCGCCACTTTTCGGATCTAATATTTTGCTTTTTTCAAAATTCAATTGTGAAAAATTGTACTAATCCATTTTGGGCATGGAAACACATATTCTGTTGTCATTGTCAAATGCTTTTTACTCCTCTTCATCCCACCCCATTTATCTCCTTTTTTCTATTTCGTAACTTTGGTCTGTCGTATGTCTTGTAATTTTTGTTCTCGTCGTCAGTCGTGTTTGTCGTTGTCGTCGCCTTTTTTGTATCAAACATTTTGCTTTTTTCAAAATTCAATTGTGAAAAATTGTACTAATCGATTCCGGGCATGGAAACACATATTCTGTTGTCATTGTTAAATACTTTTTACTCCTTCTAATCCTACCACATGTATCTCCTTTTTTCTATTTCGGAACTTTGGTCTGCTGTTTGTCTTGTAATTTTTGTTCTCGTTGTCAGTCGTGTTCGTCGTTGTCGTCGCCTTTTATTGGATCAAACATTTTGCTTGTTTTAAAATTCAGTTGTAGAAAATTGTACTAATCGATTCCGGACATGGAAACACATATTATGTTGTTATTGTTAAATACTTTTTACTCCTCTTAATCCCACCCCCATTTATATCCTTTTTTCTATTACGTAACATTGGTCTGTCGTCTGTTTTGCAATTTTTGTTCTCGTCGTCAGTCGTGTTCGTCGTTGTCGTCGCCTTTTTTTAGATCAAACATTTTGCTTGTTTTAAAATTCAGTTGTGAAAAATTGTACTAATCGATTCCGGGCATGGAAACACATTCTGTTATATTTGTTACATACTCTTTACTACTCTTAATTCCACCTAATTTATCCCTTTTTTTCTATTTCGTAACTTTGGTCTGTCGTTTGTCTTGTAATGTTTGTACTCATCGTCAGTCGTGTTCGTCGTTGTCGTCGCCTTTTTTTGGATCAAAAATTTTGCTAGTTTTAAAATTCAGTTGTGAAAAATTGTACTAATTGATTCCGGGCATAGAAACACATTCTGTTGTATTTGTTACATACTCTTTACTACTCATATCCCACCTCATTTATCCCTTTTTTCTATTTTGTAACATTGGTCTGTCGTTTGTTTTGTAATTTTTGTTCTCGTCGTCAGTCGTGTTCGTCGTTGTCGTCGCCTTTTCTTGGATCAAACATTTTGCTTGTTTTAAAATTCAGTTGTGAAAAATTATACTAATCGATTCCGGGCATGGAAACACATATTCTGTTGTTATTGTTAAATACTTTTTACTCCTCTTAATCCCACCCCATTCATCTCCTTTTTTCTATTACGTAACATTGGTCTGTCGTATGTCTTGTAATTTTTGTTCTCGTCGTCAGTCGTGTTCGTCGTTGTCGCCGCCTTTTTTTGGGATCTAACATTTTTTGTTTTAAAATTCAGTTGTGAAAAATTGTACTAATCGATTCAGGGCATGGAAACACATATTCTGTTGTATTATTTGTTAAATACTTTTTACTCCTCTTAATCCCACCCCATTTATCTACTTTTTCCTATTTCGTAACTTTGGTCTGTTGTTTGTCTTGTAATTTTTGTTCTCGTTGTCAGTCGCGTTCGTCGTTGTCGCCGCCTCTTTTCGGATCTAATATTTTGCTTTTTTCAAAATTCAATTGTGAAAAATTGTACTAATCCATTTTGGGCATGGAATCACATATTCTGTTATCTTTGATTAAAAACTATTTACTCCTCTCTTCCAACTCTATTTATCCTTTTCTTCTATTTCGTAACTTTGGTCTGTCGTTTGTCTTGTAATTTTTGTTCTCGCCGTCAGTCGTGTTCGTCGTTGTCGTCGCCTTTTTTTGGATCAAAAATTTTGCTTGTTTTAAAATTCAGTTGTGAAAAATTGTACTAATCGATTCCGGGCATGGAAACACATTCTGTTGTATTTGTTACATACTCTTTACTACTTTTAATCCCACCTCATTTATCCCTTTTATCTATTTTGTAACATTGGTCTGTCGTATGTCTTGTAATTTTTGTTCTCGTCGTCAGTCGTGTTTGTCGTTGTCGTCGCCTTTTTTGTATCAAACATTTTGCTTGTTTTAAAATTCAGTTGTAGAAAATTGTACTAATCGATTCCGGGCATGGAAACACATATTCTGTTGGTATTGTTAAATACTTTTTACTCCTCTTAATCCCACCCCATTTATCTCCTTTTTTCTATTACGTAACATTGGTCTGTCGTATGTCTTGTAATTTTTGTTCTCGTCGTCAGTCGTGTTCGTCGTTGTCGTCGCCTTTTCTTGGATCAAACATTTTGCTTGTTTTAAAATTTAGTTGTGAAAAATTGTACTAATCGATTCCGGGCATGGAAACACATATTCTGTTGTTATTGTTAAATACTTTTGACTCCTCTTAATCCCACCCCATTTATCTCCTTTTTTCTATTACGTAACATTGGTCTGTCGTATGTCTTGTAATTTTTGTTCTCGTCGTCCGTCGTGTTCGTCGTTGTCGCCGCCTTTTTTTGGGATCTAACATTTTGTTTGTTTTAAAATTCAGTTGTGAAAAATTGTACTAATCGATTCAGGGCATGGAAACACATATTCTGTTGTATTATTTGTTAAATACTTTTTACTCCGCTTAATCCCACCTCATTTCTATTTCGTAACTTTGGTCTGTCGTTTGTCTTGTAATTTTTGTTCACGTCGTCAGTCGTGTTCGTTGTTGTCGTCGCCTTTTTTTGGATCAAACATTTTGCTTGATTTAAAATTCAGTTGTGAAAAATTGTACTAATCGATTCCGGGCATGGAAACACATTCTGTTGTATTTGTTACATACTCTTTACTACTCTTAATCCCACCTCATTTATCCCTTTTTTCTATTTCGTAACTTTGGTCTGTCGTTTGTCTTGTAATTTTTGTACTCATCGTCAGTCGTGTTCGTCGTTGTCGTCGCCTTTTTTTGGATCAAAAATTTTGCTTGTTTTAAAATTCAGTTGTGAAAAATTGTACTAATCGATTCCGGGCATAGAAACACATTCTGTTGTATTTGTTACATACTCTTTACTACTCATATCCCACCTCATTTATCCCTTTTTTCTATTTTGTAACATTGGTCTGTCGTTTGTTTTGTAATTTTTGTTCTCGTCGTCAGTCGTGTTCGTCGTTGTCGTCGCCTTTTTTTGGATCAAACATTTTGCTTGTTTAAAAATTCAGTTGTGAAAAATTGTACTAATCGATTCCGGGCATAGAAACACATTCTGTTGTATTTGTTAAATACTTTTTACGCCTCTTAATCCCACCCCATTTATCTCCTTTTTTCTATTTTGTAACTTTGGTCTGTCGTTTGCCTTGTAATTTTTGTTCTCGTCGTCAGTCGTGTTCGTCGTTGCCTTTTTTTTGGATCAAACATTTTGCTTGTTTTAAAATTCAGTTGTGAAAAATTGTACTAATCGATTCTGTGCATGGAAACACATATTCTGTTGGTATTGTTAAATACTTTTTACTCCTCTTAATCCCACCCCATTTATCTCCTTTTTTCTATTACGTAACATTGGTCTGTCGTATGTCTTGTAATTTTTGTTCTCGTCGTCAGTCGTGTTCGTCGTTGTCGTCGCCTTTTCTTGGATCAAACATTTTGCTTGTTTTAAAATTTAGTTGTGAAAAATTGTACTAATCGATTCCGGGCATGGAAACACATATTCTGTTGTTATTGTTAAATACTTTTGACTCCTCTTAATCCCACCCCATTTATCTCCTTTTTTCTATTACGTAACATTGGTCTGTCGTATGTCTTGTAATTTTTGTTCTCGTCGTCCGTCGTGTTCGTCGTTGTCGCCGCCTTTTTTTGGGATCTAACATTTTGTTTGTTTTAAAATTCAGTTGTGAAAAATTGTACTAATCGATTCAGGGCATGGAAACACATATTCTGTTGTATTATTTGTTAAATACTTTTTACTCCGCTTAATCCCACCTCATTTCTATTTCGTAACTTTGGTCTGTCGTTTGTCTTGTAATTTTTGTTCACGTCGTCAGTCGTGTTCGTCGTTGTCGTCGCCTTTTTTTGGATCAAACATTTTGCTTGATTTAAAATTCAGTTGTGAAAAATTGTACTAATCGATTCCGGGCATGGAAACACATTCTGTTGTATTTGTTACATACTCTTTACTACTCTTAATCCCACCTCATTTATCCCTTTTTTCTATTTCGTAACTTTGGTCTGTCGTTTGTCTTGTAATTTTTGTACTCATCGTCAGTCGTGTTCGTCGTTGTCGTCGCCTTTTTTTGGATCAAAAATTTTGCTTGTTTTAAAATTCAGTTGTGAAAAATTGTACTAATCGATTCCGGGCATAGAAACACATTCTGTTGTATTTGTTACATACTCTTTACTACTCATATCCCACCTCATTTATCCCTTTTTTCTATTTTGTAACATTGGTCTGTCGTTTGTTTTGTAATTTTTGTTCTCGTCGTCAGTCGTGTTCGTCGTTGTCGTCGCCTTTTTTTGGATCAAACATTTTGCTTGTTTAAAAATTCAGTTGTGAAAAATTGTACTAATCGATTCCGGGCATAGAAACACATTCTGTTGTATTTGTTAAATACTTTTTACGCCTCTTAATCCCACCCCATTTATCTCCTTTTTTCTATTTTGTAACTTTGGTCTGTCGTTTGCCTTGTAATTTTTGTTCTCGTCGTCAGTCGTGTTCGTCGTTGCCTTTTTTTTGGATCAAACATTTTGCTTGTTTTAAAATTCAGTTGTGAAAAATTGTACTAATCGATTCTGTGCATGGAAACACATATTCTGTTGTCCTTTGTTCAAAACTTTTTACTCCTTTCTTCCAACTCTATGTATCTCGTTTTTTCTATTTCGTTACTGTCGTTTGTATTTTTGTCTTGTAATTTTTGTTTTCATTCTGTTGTTAAAATTTTATTATTAATTTTATTAAAATTATTAAATTTTAATATTTATTGTTTCCTTAATTAAATGCATATTTGAATTTTAAATTGAAATTTTAAAAAAAATGAAACTATAATTTTAAAGAAGGAAAAAAATGGTTTACTGTTAAAACAAAAATGTTTCTTACTTTCAAAATTCTGATTTCCTCTTGCAAAGTTGAGCTTTTTACTTCGTCTTCTTTTACAATTGTAACCCCTTCAATTTTCATTTTTTCCTTCTCGGAAATCTCTTCTGAAATTGCTTTTCTAATTCGAATGATAACTTCCGGTATTTCTGCGATTCTAAAATAAACAAAGTTTTATTTTTTCAACAACATTAATTACAGGAATAGAACTATTATTAATATAGAAGATAGATTAATCAAAAATTAATTAGAATTTGTAATAATAATGAAAAAAAATTATTTTCTAAAAAAATAAAACCCACTACTTTAGAATTTAAAAAAGAAACGATATATTTTAAAAGATTAAATATAAATTTAAGATAATTTAAAATTTCTACCTTTCGACAATGCAATCTAACGAAAGAGATAACAATGCATCGCCTTCGAGTCCCAATTTCTCCAAAATTGTATACAATTGTTGTGTATTTAATTTTTCATTGACTAAATTCGATTGTAATGTTTCTAAAGTTTCACGATCAATTGCTGCTCTTGAGTCCAATTCCTTGCTGGATCGTTCAACTTCTTGTAATCTGGAAAATTGTTTTAAATTCATTATTTAAAATTAAAGTTTTAAACAATTTCTATTTTCTTATAATTGAACACATACCGTAAAATTTGAGTAGCTGAATTATCAACTTCCTGCTCAAGTTGCGCTACTCTTCCCTCTAAAAGTTCAATCATATTTGAAGCTTGATCTAAGGCGACATCTTTTTCCTGAAATTGTAATTTTAAAAATTGAGTAAAAATGATGATTTTTATTCAAGAGTAAATTTTAGAAATTTTATTATTATAAAGTAGTATTATTATTATAAATTTTTTAAAATATATAAACTTTAAGGAAAGAAAATCGAACTGGGATATAAAAAAATGTACCTCAAGTGCCTCTCGACATTTATGAACATCACGTTGTGCAGTGTCTCTCTCCTTCTCTAAACCAGAAAGTTTACCCTCTAATTCGAGACATTTCGTTTGAATTTTATTCGATTCACTCTCAATACTACGAAGTTCTTCTAATTTTTGATTTGCACTTTCCAATGAGCGTTCAACATCATCGGCACGCCTTTGTACACTCTCTAAAAGTGATTGTATACGTTTTTTTTCATTTGCCGCCGTCTCATAATTCTTCTCCATATCAATTAATTTTGTATGTTGCGCTTGTAAATCCTGTTGTTGCTTTTCATAGGATAATTTTTGATTTTTCAATGATGTCTGCAATTTTTTATTCTCCTCAAGCGCTTGCTTACAAACAAGTTCCAAATCAGAATTCTGCTGTGTTATTCGTTCACTATTATCCGTGAGTGATTCAACTTTTAATGAAAGCTTCTTTTTTTCTTTCTCCAATTCCAAAACACGCGATGAACTTTCGTGAAATGAATTTTCTTTTAATGATTCAATCAATGTTAGTAGACGTCGATTTTCCAATTCCAATTTTAAGGCACGCGTTTGAGCATTACTTGTCAATTGTTCCGATAGTGGATTATCGTTTATTACTGAAAAATCAAATTTTTTTATTCAATTTTTAGAAAATATTTTTAATGAAAGCACTTTTTAAAATATAAAAAAAATCTAGAAGTATAAAAATTTACTTCTTTTTGTATAAACCTATTTTTAAATTTTATAATTTCGGTAAAAATAATTTTTCTCGAAAACTATTTATTTATTCACCTGGCTCTTCGGAATCACTGACATACTCAATCATTGTTGAATCGTTTGCAGCTTTCGTTAATCGTTTCAAATGAGTGTTCTCCTCGTAAAGTTCTTGATATTTTTCCTTATCAGCAGCGCGTTCCTAAAATATTAATAAAAAGAAAACAAAATTTATTTTATAATTATTAGTACTATTAATATTTTAATTTTAAAAAACGGTAAAATAGATGAAAAAGTTAAAATATTTCTTTTTTTTAGAAATAAGGTAAAAATATTAATTTAATGAATCTGTAAAGTGTAAATGTAATATTTTGAATAGAGTGATTTGTTAATAAAAAATCTTCCAAAGAATAAATTGATTTTATTACCAAAGCCATGTCGTTGATGAGTTGTTTGTGTTTTATAATCTCAGCTTCAAGCTCCAAAACTTTATCAGCTCGTTTTCTTGACGAATTTAATTGCTCCTCAAACATTTCTCGCGTTTCCATTAAAATTCTAAATAAAATTTAACAATTTAGTTAATAAATAAAATACAATTTTTTAATCTACCTATTTTTCTTTTTTCTCAATTATTTAAGAAATTAAATTACTATTTTTATTATTTTACTTTAAAAGATTCTCACCTATTATCATCGCGAAGTTCCTCTATTCGAGTTTTATAAAATTCTATGTCTGTTAATTTTTCACGATATCGAGACACTTCCATTTCTAAACGATCTGCCCTTTCCGCTCTCTCAATCACAGCATCGAGCTCATCTCGATAAGATTTTGCTGTTCTTGCTTCAAGAACTAGTTCCTGATTCTTTAATTTAAAAAAGAATTTATATTATTTTTAAATAAATACCAAATTAAAAATAAGGAACTAAATAAATTTTTACTAATTTTCAGAAATTTTAACTAACTTATAATATATTTTACTAATTTATGATAAAAAAATTTACTAAAATTTAAAAATAATTCATCGATCTTACCTCTTGTTTTAATTTTGAAAGAAGTATTTTATTGTGCTCCAATTCTTCCTTACATTCAAGTAAAGCTTCCGTTTTTTCCTCCCTTTTGTATTGAGAACAAAAATTTATTAAATTTTTTATTTAAAATTAAATATATTAAGTAAATTTACAAAAAAAAACTTAAAAAACAAATTTCACTTTTTTTTGCGAATAATTATTTGAATGGAAATTTTGTTAAATTTCCATTTAAATAATTATTCGCAAAAAAAAGTAAAGATTCTTATTAAAAAGAAAAAATTTAAAAGGGACAAACTCACAATTCTTGTCGTTGTTTTCGAACTTTAGACTTCCAATCTGCCAATTCAACTGCATAATGATGATTTTCCTCTTTTTCCGATTTCGACGTTGAATTCGATTGTTGCGATTTATTTAAATCTTCACCCTCTGCGCTTATCGTTGAATCATTCTGTTCGCCAATTTCGTTTATTGACATATTTCTCCATTTCTAAATTTAGAAAAAAAAGAGAAAAAATGTTTAAAGAAATGTTGGAAACAATTAGGAAATTTATATTTAAATTAAATAAATATCTAATATTTAACATTATTTTTGTAAACATACCTCACGGTAGAGATTTCTCTCCTGAATTAATTTCTTAATTTCCAAAAAAACATTTCCCATATTTACATTATCCATCGAATCCTGAGTGATAACAATTTCCTGATGGTCCGTTACCTGAAAAGTTATATTTGATAAAATCTCAAAAAAACATGTTGCTGTTTAAAATTTTTCTTAATTTTTAATTAAAAAACTGAATTTCTTTTAGATTTTAAAATAAATAAAATAAAAATAAAACTATATGAGTAAAGAAAAAAAATTTGCAAATTCACATATGCTGAACATCTAAAAAGATAATTTCTCATTAAAGTTTTATAAACAGATTGTAATTTCATTATAAAAATAACATTAATTTTTCAACTCTAATTATAATAGTTAAAAATTTCGAATAAGAAAAGAATGAGAAAAAATTTCTTGTAATGAATAAAAAATAAATGAATAAATATAATACCTGCTTGATACATTCAACAATTGCGAGTTGCGTGTCGACATCAAGTGCTTTTATTTTAGTAATAAATTTTTCTTTATTAGGACATTGAACCGCGCAGCCAAGCAATAAAAGAAGAAATAATTTCATATCGCCAATATATGATTCTGGCTCCTTTCCCAAATTCATTGTATCAGGCAATCTAAGGAGAAGATGTCCTAGTTCTTCCTCATAAAATTGCTTCATATTGCCGACAATTACTTCCAAATTTTTAATTCTCTTCGACACATTTCCAAGCGATGGAATAACTCCATCGTGCAAAGGTTCCGGATCTCTGAAATATTAATAAATTTTAACTTTTATTTATTTATTTCCATATACTTAATATTTGTTCAACATTAATTTAATGTTTAATTAAATATTTGTTTAATATTTATTTAATATTTTTTAACATTTATTTAATATTTGTTTAATATTTATTTAATATTTGTTAAAATATTTGTTTATTTGTTATTTGTTAATATTTATTAACTCACATTTGTAGAAAGACGCTGTGAAGTAAAACTCCGTCAACTAAATCCTCATAATTTGACAATGAATTTGAATCATCGAGACAGCTGATGAACTAAATAGAGAAAAAAGATTATATTAAATGAATATTTTTTTTGTAAATTAAAAAATTTTAATCACAGTTTATTAATTTCTTACCCAAGTGACTAATGGTCCTGACAAAAGTTCATTAATTTCGGCTGAAGACATTTTTAAAGTTTTTTTTTGGTTTACTATTTTAATTAAACTCTCATATTATTTCATTCAACCTGTAAATAAATTTTTATTAACAAAATACAATAATTTTCTAATAACAAGATATTAAAAAATTTTATTGAAAATATTAAATTCTAAATTTTTTCTATTTCAAAAATTATCAAATAAAAACTAATTTTTATTAACAAAATTTTATTCATTTTTTTATTTGAAAATAAAATAATTTTCTAAAAGCAACTTTATTTTTTTAAGTTAAAAATTTTTAATTTTAATTGTTTTTTTCAGAAATTATAAAAATTGTTCTTTTGATAAATTTATTTTTAAAATAATTTATATATTAACTTATATGTAAATAAATAAATATTTATTATTGTTTCAATTTAAATTTTGTCAAAATAAATTTCAATTTAAAATTTTTAAAATCTCAGAGAAGGAAAAATTTTACAAAGCGGGGGGCAATTTTTTTGAAAAAAGAAATAAAGAAAGAATATCTTTAGGAAAATAAACAAAATTGTTTCCACAAAAAAGACAAGTGTTTGTAAAAATTTAATTAAATTGAAAATGAATAATTAACAAATAACAAATAATTGAAAAATAAAATAAAATTATAACAATACTCACGAATTGTACTTCCTTCGCCCCTTAATTTTTCAAAAAATAATAAAATTCATCTTCTTCCAAAGCGAGAAATAAATTATATTTCTTTAAAGACGCTCCGTGTTTTTTCTCCCGAATAGATTAAAAGCAGAATTTCTCCCGCAAATATAAAAGAGCACATTCAACTGATGTTAAAAGGAAGAAAAAAAACTCTCAAAAATAGATAAATATATTAAATATATAACCTAAAAAAAAAGAGTTCAATGTGCCGCAATCACCCTCACAAAAATAAATAACACTCTTTCCACTCGCGACGCGGTATTTTTAGATCGATTTCACGGTCGTTTTCACTTTCATTCTTTATACAAAGAGAGACGAGGAACGTTTGTATATTTTACTTCTAAACAAACAAGAAAAAAGGATTAGAACACCACTCTTATTATTAATCTTTTTAAATTATAAACATTCAAATTAAAAAATTTTATAAAATATTTCCTTTTAATTTTCCCCGGTGAAATTATTACAAGGAAAAAAAATAACACAATTTACGCTCTTGGAATTATTGCAAAATTACAAACAATACAAGCCGAGAAATAGTCATTTTTATTCGCAATGCATGGGAATAATTTTCCCCGAGTGCATTCGAGCATAGAACCAGAACGACGACGGCGACGACGACGATGAGAAAGATGATCGACCCTAGAGAGTGGGAGGGTAAATGAATGTAAAGCATTTGATAAATAGAGAGGGAAACAATGCAAGCAGGTGCACAAAGACAATCGGTAAAATAGTGCACACGACGACTGTTGGTAAAATAGAAATGACCGAACATAACCTATGTTTTTTTTTATTTTAACGCCATAAAAAAATCATGGACAGGGTTGATACGAACTGTCAAAATTCCGATCGTGATATGAAATTTCTCTTTGATCAATTATCAACGGCTAGAAAGGAAATAAATAATCTCAGGTTTGTATTAAATTTTATACGTTAAGATTTTTTTTATGTAAATATGAACGAGTTTCACGATATTCTTTTGATTTATAATAGTTGAACATAACCCTATTTTGCAATACCAATAAATGACTATTTGGAATTAAAATTTTAAAAAAGATTGTAAATTTCCCCATTTATTTTATATATTTGTCGAATTATAGTATTAAATAATAATTATTGTGTATTCAAAAGCAACGAAATGAATTTTTCATTAATATTTAATTGAATACGATTTCTTTAAAATTCAACAAATAATATTGTTCTAATATTTGCAATTGTTTGAATACAGAAATAGAATTTTAGTTCTATTATTTATATAATATAATTATTTTTTATGAAAATAATTGAATTAATTAAAAAAATATTATTTATGAAAATCATTGAATTCCTGTAAAATTTTTATTATTTATGAAAATAATTAAATGTTTTCATAAAATTTTATTAACATTTTTTTTAAATTATTAAATTCTTTTTGGAAAATTTTAGTAGATATTGAAAATCATTGCAATTAGAAAAATTTTTTGAAAATAATTGAAATTAGAAGAATTTTTTTCACATTTATGAAAATAATTGAACTTTGGAGAAGAATTTTGTTATTTATAAAGATAATTGGTATTTTTAGTAGAATTTTTTTCAAATTTTGAACATAGTTGAATTATATAAGAATTTTTTTTTTTTTTTAAATAATTGAATTTCTGCAATTATTTGTAATTTCTCCAAAATTGAATTTCTTTTGTGTTTTCAACCAAAATTTAAATTAGAAAATTTTTAAATTCTATTATTAATTATTATTAATATTAAGTACAAAATAAAAAAAACATAATTGCTTCAAGTTAATTGTTTTATTGAAATTGCAGACAACAACTAAAGAGTTTACGTTATATTCACGAAAAGGACGTGGACAATATAAAACGACTTCTTGGATTATGTTCAGATGGAGTTTCACTAGTTTCATCGAATCCCGAAAGTTCACGGGTTATTGAACCTGGAACAAGTCACGAATCGGAAGATGTTTTAAAATTAAAATCAATTGGAGTGATATCGACATGGTTCCCAAGTAAAAGAGGAACGCCACGACAATCAGGAATTTGTGAACGCGTTCCTGGAAAATTAACACTCTTTAATTCTGTTTTAAATAATCCCGAGCATGCACTCGAAGGATTACATGAATTTTCACATATGTGGTGAGAAAATTTTCTTTTTCCAAAATTATTGAATTTTGGAGAAAATACAAATAATTGCAATTTTTAGAAATAATTGAATTTTTATATGGTTTCAAATTAAAATCTTTGGAGAATCTGAATTTGTCTTTTTTTTAGAGTTTTTAACTAAAATTCTTCTATAAATCCATTATTTTTAATAATTAATGAAATATAAAATTCAACTATAATTTCAGAAGAATTTTAATTATTAAAATTTTTCAAAAAAACTAAGTTCTTTAAAATTTATAATTAGATTCATTGAAATTTTGAAACTTTATAAAATTTCAAATTGAACCGTTTTGAAGTTCTATTTATAAAAATTGTAAACGCAACTCTTTTAAAATTGAATTGTGAAATATTTTAACTAAAGTTATTCATTAAATAATTTTATGATAGTTCTTCAAAAAATTAAGTTGTTCAAAAACAAAATAATTATCAGAAATAGAAAAAGTTGTAAATTAGAATTTAAGAAAATTAGAAATTGTACTATTAGAATTCGTAGTGATTTCATATTCTTCATTTTCAGGATTCTCTTCCATTTTCATAGAAACGAATCAACTCACATTAGAGCGAAGGTGGCGCCACCGCGTCTAAATGGCGCAAGAACTGGTGTTTTCTCAACGCGTTCACCCCATCGACCATGTCCCATTGGTCTAAGTCTCGTGAAGATAATAAAAATCGAGAACAACACTATTTTCTTCGAGGGCGTCGATATGGTCGATCAAACGCCAGTTCTTGACATTAAACCCTATATACCACAGTACGACAATCCATTGCACCAGGAAAAATTAAATACCCGATCAATGAATCTCGAGACTCTGACAAATGGCGATGGCACCGATTTACCGATGGTACAATTGCCGACTAACGATAATGACAATGTCCAAATTTCAAATTCACAATCCGAAGAATTGTCAACGGCGGTCAATGAAGACACGGACGTTTCGAGGGATGAGGAAATTGCCCTACGACTACAGGCGCAAGAATTTCAGGACTATGGTAACTTTGAGAATGATGTGCCTGATGCAATTTTACATATTTTACGTCCTCAGCAGGAGAATATCGCGAGGAATAATCATGTGTCATTGATGAATTCAGAGAATAATGAGAGTTCATCGAGAACTGAGGTGGTGAACGAAACTGGAGAAACTTTGGAGAGAGTTAGAAATAATGCTGGTGAGGATCGAACTTGGCGGAATTCGAGACTTCTTGAGGGTGCGGATGGACCGAGTACGGTTTGCGGCACGGATTTGGATTTAATTCGACGAAGGGCTTTGAATGGGAGATTGGATAATTCGCCGATAAGAATGGGAGTTCGTGAGGCACCCGATGGAGAAGAAGGCTTTGAGACGCCAATTCTCACGCCTTCGCAAACTGTACCGGGAAATTTGTCCGTTATTGAGCCGATTCCATTGTCCGTTATTGCTGCAACGACGACGACAACAACAACAACAACAACGACAGGAATTATGAATACAAATACAAATGAAATTCGTGTTCCCGATTGGATTTCAAGGCCGCAAATGTCGACATTGTCGGTGGTTTTTAATGAACGAGCCCTCGCGCAATTAAATGAAATTCTCGACGATAAGGCCGACGAGGAGAAGGTGGCTATTGAAAATGTTTTACGTGAAGATCCACGCTCTGTTTATCTGCGACAACGATGGGGCAATCAATTTTACACTTTTCTAATTCACGATCTTCATATTACGTGTCGATTTTACGATAGCAGAAAACTCGTCACGGTTTTTCAAGTGAGACACGCTGGTCGAACGTGCGAGTGCGGTGAACCCGAATGGCAGTGTCTGGGTCATTCGCCTTTAAATTAGGACACGATTTTTGTGTTTTCTTCCCGTTAATCTAAGATAACCTCAAAATTGTTTATCTGCACCAAAAGGAAAATATAGGAAAGCTTGCATTTTGCACAAATTTCCATATAGCTTCGATCAGTGTACGAAATTTTAAAAGTTCTTCTTCTTTTCTTCTTCTTCATTTCTTTCAAATGACTTAAGATCATTTGAGAAGAAGAAGAACAAGAACTTTCTTTCAATTCTGAGCAAAGCAGTGATACCAACATGAAACGTAAACAACGACAATGGAAATATAATCTCAATTTTTCGAAATATGTTGGTATCACTGAATATTTGTTTAGAACCTGCAGTGACTTACTCTAAATCGAAGTGATAATGCTTCAAAAACTATTCATAAATTTGTCAAAGTTTTCTTCAAAATCAGTTTCAAAATCTATATTTTATTAATTTATTAAGAATATTAAGAACTTTATCAAAAAATTTCAGAATAATTGAATTCCTTCGAAGAATTTTAATATTTATGAAAATAATTCGAATTCTAGCGAAGAGTTTTATTAAAATTTTTGAAAATCCTAATTCAATTCTTTTGAAGAATTTCATAGAATTTTTTTTTTTTTTAATAATGGAGTTTCTTTAATAATTTTAATTGAAAATTTTGGAAGTAATTGAATTTCATTAAAACTTTTAGAAAATAATTAAATTCTTAGAATTTTATTACAAATTTTCTAAAATAATTTAGTTATTCGAGGAATTTTATTAAAATATAGAAAAAATTGAATTCCTGCAAAGAATTTTTTTAAGGAAATAATTGAAATCTTTCAACGAACTTTTATTAAGATTATATTAGAAATAATTGAATTCTTCTGAGAAATTTTATTAAAATTCTATTAAAAATAATTGAATTCCTACGAAGTATTAAAAATAATTGAATTTTTGCAAATAATTTTACTACCTATTTTAAAAAAATAATTGAATTATTCCGTAGGACTTATTAAAATTTTAGAAAATAATTGAATTTTTGCAAATATTTTACTATTTAAAAAAAATGATTAAATTGTTTCGAATGATTTATTTTAATTTTAGAAAATAATTGAATTTTTTCGAAGAATATTATTAAAAATTTGTTAAAAATTGAATTTTTTTATGAAATTTTATTAAAATCATATTAAAAATAATTGAATTTTTGCAAAGATTTGACTATTTTAAAAAAATATGTGAATTTTTTCGAAGGATTTATTAAAATTTTACAAAATAATTGAATTTTTGCAAAAATTTTACTATTTAAAAAAATAATTTAATTGTTTTAAAGAATTTATTAAAATTTTAGAAAAAAAATTGAATTCTTTAGTGAAATTTTATAGAAATTAATTGAATTTTACAAAGATTTTACTATTTTAAAAAAATAATTTGATTATTGAAGTTTATTAAAATTGTATTGAAAATAATTGAATTCCTGAGAAGAATAGAAAATAATTGCATTTTTTTAAAAAATTTTATTAAAAATTAAAAAATAATTAAACTGTTCTAAGGATTTATTAAAAATTTTAGAAAATAATTGAATTTTCTTAAAAAATTTGATAATATTTATAAAGATATTTGAATTGTTTCGAAAGATTTATTAAAATTCTGTTCAAAATAATTGAATTTTTGCAAAAAATTTTACTCTATTTATAAAAATAATTGTATTCTTCTTAAGAATATAATTGAATTGTTTCGAAGAATTTATTACAATTTTAGAAAATAATTGAATTCTTTCTTGAAATTTTATTAAAATTTTATTAAAAATAATTAAATGTTTGCAAAAAAAAATTCAATTAGATATTTGTAAAAATAATTGAATTCTTTTGAAAAATATTATTATTTATGAAAATGATTGAATTTTTTTGCTTCAAGTTCTATTCATATAAATTTGTCAAGTGTTTTTCTTCAAAAGTATGTAGTTTCAAAATTTAAAAATATATTTTACAAATAAAAAGCCCTGCTTAATGGAAATTAAAATAAAACAATTTTGAGGTTATTATTAATGCGGATTTAAGGAAAAAAACGATAATACTGTCCATTGACATAAATTTAAAACTCCTTTTTTTCACGCAATTAATTAAAAATACTCTTCTTTTAAAAATGTCAATGATTTTGAACATTCTTAAAAATTATTTTTTCAATTTCTTTTTTTTTACTTGACCGAAAGTATAATTTTTATTGTCAACTATTTTGCTTTCACGAGATTCAATGCGAGATTGAAAGAATATTGAAAGTCAATTCAATCAACGGGGATTGAATTCTTTTAATTATTGTTACATTATAAATTAATGTAGAAATAATTTAATATTTTACTGTGATTTTTTTCCCAAAAAGTCTTCGACTTTATTTATAATTATAATTATTAATAATGCACAATAGTTTGCTTTCAATAGAGAATAATTTTTAATCACACACGGTTCTTTACTTCACTGTAAAGAGAATATGAGAAAAAAAATATATATAGATATATATTCAAAATAGCGAATTTTTATTTTGTTTTTAAGTATATAAAATATTTTTTTATATTTGACATTTTTCTTTTGTTTGTTTATAAAAATAAAGCACTTGTAAAACTTCTAATATTAACCAATTTTTTATTCTTTTTTAAATTGTAAAAAATTTTATAATTACAATTATAAAATTTTATAATTTAATTGTAAAATTGAGGGCTCCAATGCTACAATTCGTTTGACGCTCGAAAATTTTTCGAGCGCCAAACGAGTTGTTGCATTGAAGCGCTCAATTAGGAATTAGTTTTAAAAAAATTAATTAAATTTAACTATAAAATTATAATTAATTATAATCAATTATAATTGATTTGAATCATAAACGAATTTTGGAATTATAACTAAATTTTTATATTAAAAATACAAAATAACGATTTATTTTAAAAAAATTAATGAATTAACTATTTAAATTGTATTATTAAAATTATTGAATGTAAGGAATTAATTAAATTTTACGAGATTATGTTTTTGGAAATTAAAACGAAAATGAAAGTGATTCAAATAGTAATTAAACTTCTATAGAAAAAAATGCAATAAAAGCTTAAAAATATTAAAATAAACTTTTGTCGTTTCATGTCCTTTTTATTTGTTTTTTCCTTCGCGATGTTTAAAAAAAGAAGAGCAATGTAGTGTAAAAATAAAACTCCCATTATCGATTGGAGTTTTATTTATTTACAAAAAAAGGAAATTTCAAATTCTCGTTCATGAGAATTTGTAAAAAAAAATAAAAGAAACCTATGTGTACATTCTTATCGTCGAATCAGCGCCCGCAGAGAAAACCCACGGCTGAATCGGATGGAACATCACATCAAGAATTCCAAAATCATTAAATGACTCATGATTACTTAATCTTTTCAGAGGAACGATTAATGGATTCTTCAAAAGATCGCTGAAATTAAAGACTCAATTAAAAAAAAGTTTAGTTTGATATTGAAGAGAAAAGATTTAAAAAAATTTTTAAAAGAATTGAAAACGAGTAAATTAAGGGAAAAAGGAAATAATAATTTAACATCTACGATTTAAATTTCTAACTCACTTATAGACCATTCCATGACTGACAATGAGACCTCTGTCATCGGCTCCTGATGCAAAGAGTGGATATCGTTTGTGAAAGGCAACATTTCTTATTCCAGTGCCATGTAATCTTAATGTTTGATATGGTTTTGTGCTCAAGTCCAAATCAAACCAAACAACTTTACGATCGTATGTTCCAATTAAAAGATTATCACCACCTGAAAAAAATGAAAATGTTTTCACTATTAGAATCGTGATTCTTTTACACTTTTCTCTTAAAAAAAAAAAAAAAAAAAAAAAAAATTTAATTTTGTTTTTTCCTGATTTTTAGGCAAAATTTTGACTTTTTCTCTAACCCTATAAAGAATATTCTGATTCACTCTAAAAATTATTAGAATCTCAAAAAAAAATGTTGTAATACGTTTATTTACGAATTTCTTTAATTGTAAATTTATTCGAAAACATCGTAAATTTATTTTTAAATAAATATTTAATCATAATTATTTTTTCATATAAGATTAACAAAAATTTCAAATTCAAATCTTTTAAAATTCAATAACTAAAAAAAATAATATAAAAAAAGCTAAAAGAAAACTAAAAAAAAAATAAAAAAAACTCTAACTTCTTTAAAATTATTTTCATCATTTCAATTAAATTATTATTTTCTACAATTTTTAATTAAAATTCTTCTTTAAATCAATTATTTCTAATAATTTCCAAAAAAAAGCTCTTTGAGAATTATCAAATCCATTTGTTTACAATTCAATTTTACGAAATTTCGATTATTCGGAAATTCTTCAATTTCTACTTATTGTTAAAAGTATAAAAAATACAAATTTTCAAAGATTATGAAACCTATTCAAATTCAAATATTTCTAAAAATTCATGCTTTTAATATTCAATTTTATTATAATCTAAAATTTTAACTAAAATTCATTTTTAGAATTAATTTTCATTAGAAAATTCTACGAGAATTCAATTATTTAAATACAAAAAAAAATTGTATTAAAAATAATTGAAATGCTGTGAAGAATTTTATTATTTATGAAAATAATTGAATTCTTTTGAGAAAATTTATTAAAATAGTAGATTTTGAAAATATTTGAATTTTAGCAAAGAATTTCATTATTTATGAAATGTAATTGAATTCATGCAAAAAATTTTTGAAAATAATTACATTTTTCGAGGAATTTATTTAAAATTATATTAAAAATTTTTTAAAAAATTTTTGAACATGATTGAATTTTTGCTAAGAATTTCATAACTTCTCAAAAATTAAATTTTGCTTAGTGTCTTCTAACTTAAATTCTTCTATAAATTCATTATTTTTAATATTTAAGTAAATATAATTATATGAAAAAATTTAACTAATTTTAGAAGAATTTAAATTATTAAAATTTTACAAAAATCTAAGTTCTTTAAAATGTCTAATCAAATTCATTCTAAATTGAAATTTTATAAAATTCTAAATTGAAACCTTTTGAAGTTAATCTATTTATGAAAATTGTAAACGCAACTCTTTGAAAATTCAATTAATTTTGAAATATTTTTGTAAAATAATTCATTAAATAATTTACAAGTCATAATTTAATTTTTTATCAAATGGAAAATTAATAAAAAAAGTAAAGTAAAATTTTAAAGAGTATATTCAATAAACACTAAAAAAGTAAGAAAATTTATATCTACCTGGATGGATAGCCATTGATGAAATCCATTGTGAATTTGAGAGTAATTTTTTCACCATTTCTTGTTTAACGAGATCGTAAATTCGTACATTTCGTTGTGTCTGTAAAAATTCATTAAATAAAAATAAAAATAAGTAAGAAAAAACAGAAATATAACAGAAAAAATAGTGACAACTTACAGCGACGAACAAAAATGGTCTTATTGGATGGAAAAGAACGCATTGAATCAAACCCTTGGGCCTTCTAAATGGAAGTTGAGATCTTCTTTTTGACAATTGATTTATTAAAACTGAACGATTTTGTCCCTCGGGCATTACACTTGCAAAATAATCACCCTTTCCATGCCACGTCACTTGCTTTACCATTTTAAAATGATTCAAAATCAATCGAATTCCATTTTTCTTCTCTTCACCTTCTGCCTGTTCCCATTGGACTGTCGACTTTATATTATCAGCGACTGTGGACAAAATTTTCAATAAACAATTGATAATAACAAATAATTTGTTAATAAAATGAAATAATTTACCTATGGCATCACTCTGAGGAATGATTTCAAGAAGTTGATCAGTTTTTTTCGTTATAACGTGATCTCCAACTTCGGGATTAATTAAGAGAACTTTTCTATCGGCCGCAACGGCGATTAAAGAGATCGCTTGATTTGGACACCAAGCGACGCTCCTCACAACACCACCGCAAGGAACAACTTTTACGCAACGACCAGTTGCTATTTCCCAAACTGTAATTCAAATGTTCCTCAATTATTATAAAATTTTAAAAATTTATCAAATTTAAATTTAAAAAAAAATTCTGAAAAGAAAATAAGGGAAAAAAATTAAATTTATAGAAGACTTTGCACTCGATAATTAATTTTTAAAAAATATCTTTCAAACTAAAAAAAGTAGTACAAAAGTAGCTATCAAAAAATTAAACTTGACGACCAAAAAAAACTCGTTTTAGGCACTGAGAAAAATTCCATTTCATATTTTTTATTTTCCTGCCTTTATTCCTAATTTTCATCAAAAATATTTACTTCTTTCTTATCCAGCTAATAAATTGAATTCCTTCAACGAATTTTATTATTCATGAAAGAATTTAAATATATTTTTAAAAATAATTTAATTCTTGCGAAGAATTTTATAAAAAATTTTTAATAATTGATTTCTTACGACTAATTTTATGCAAATTCTAATTTAAATAATTAAATTTCTAAGAAATTTTTATAATTCATGAAAAGAATTGAATTCTTAAGAAGATTTTTACAAAAAATTTTTAATAATAGAATTCTCTTTGGAAATTTTATAAAAATAGTAGATATTGAAAATCATTGAATTGCGAAAAGTTTTTAAAAATAATTAAATTTACAAACAATTCAATTAAAAGTTTTGACAATAATTGAATTCTTGCAAACGATTTTATTAGAATTTTTTAAAATAATTGGATTTTCAAGAAGAAATTTATTATACTTTTAAAAATAATTTAATTCTTGTGATAAATATTGTTATTTATGAAAACAATTGAATTTTGCAAAGAATTTTATTGAAAAAGACCTCAAAATAATTGAATTTTCGGGAATAGTATTATTATTTATTTTTAATAATTAAATTCTTTCGAAGAATTATTTATGTAAATAATTGAATTCTTTCGAAGAATTTTATTAAACTCTAAAAGAATAATTGAGTTATTTAAAAAAAAAATTAATTAAAATTGTATTTAAAATAATTGAATTCCTGTGAAAAATTCTAATATTTTTGTAAATAATTGAATTCTTCCAAAGAATTTTAAAAAAACATTTTTCTAAATAATTCTTTTCTCTTGAGGAATTGAAATTAAAATTTTAAGATTAATTACATTTTTTTTATCATTTCCTGTAAAATTGTATTAAAAATAATTGAAATCCTACAATGAATTTTATTATTTATGAAAACAATTGAATAATTGCTAACAATTTTATTAAAATTTTCAAAAATAATTGAATTCCGGAGAAGAATTTTATTATTTATAAAAATAATTGAATTTTTGGAAAGAATTTTATTGTTTATGAAAAAAATTGAATTTCTGTGAAAAATTTGGTTATTTTCGAAAATAATTGAATTCTTCCAAAGAATTTAAAAAAAAACATTTTTTTAAATAATTGTTTTCTTTTGAGGAATTGAAATTAATTTTTTAAGATTAATTACATTTTATTGAGCAATTCCTGTAAAATTGTATTAAAAATAATTGAAAATCTACAATGAATTTTATTATTTATGAAAATAATTGAAATTAATTGCTAAGAATTTTATTAAAAATTTTCAATAATAATTAAAATTCTACAATGAATTTTATGATTTATGAAAACAATTAAATAATTGCTCAGAACTTTATTAAAATTTTCAAAAATAATTGAATTCCTGAGAAGAATTTTATTATTTATAAAAATAATTGAATTTATGGTAAGAATTTTATTATTTATGAAAATAATTAAATTTTTGGAAAGAATTTTATTGTTTATGAAAAAAATTGAATTTCTCCATAAGAATTTTATAAATATTGTTTTAAATAATTAATTTTTGGCAAAAAATATAATAAATATTATGAAAATTTTATTTAAAATAATTAAATTCTTGTGGAAAATTTTATTTGTTAAAATAATTGAATTTTTCTTAATTTAAAATAGTATTAAAAATAATTGAAATTCTACGTTGAGTTTTATTAATTATGAAAATAATTGAAATTTTTACTTTGAATTTTATCCAAAAAGTTTTTTAAGAAATTGAATTTCTATGAAAAATGTTATTTTTAGTAAAAGTATTTGAATGCTATTCTAAATTAATTGAATTCTTGTGGAAATTTTATTGTTTATGAAAATAAATGAATTTAGAATGAATGTTATCTATTTTTTTTTAATAATTGAATTCTTTCGCGAAATTTGATGAAAATACTAGATATTGAAAATCATTGAATTTCAAATATTTTTTGTAAATAATTGAATCGTTTTAAAGAATTTGATTATTATTTTTGAGAATAGTTTTTTGATCTTTAGTATTTGCGAAGGTTTTAGTATATGAATGCAAAGCCTAAGAAGGAGGTCTTTTGAATTTTTATAAATTTAATTCACATAAAATACGAACTGAGTAAATAAAAATTTTGAAAGTAAAGCAAAATATTACTTCTCAATGTCATGTCATCGCCACCAGAGGCAAAATATTGTCCCTTCCATTCGGAACTGATACTCCTCACCATATCCGTATGTCCCTTAAAAATCATCGACATTGTCGTTGGGAATGGTTGTAAATCCTTGGGACTCGGTAATTGTGGTACCAAGTCTTCCGGTTGAATTGTCAATTTCATTTTAATTGCACGCGGACAAAGATAAAGATCCAAGCATCTTTGAAATCTTTCTTTAATATATTTTGAATAGGCCGGCACATTTCTTAATGATTCATATTTTTGTGGTATAAAATGTAATTTCCTCTTCCACGGTGTATTCTTATATTTATTAAATGCTTTCATTTCCTTTGCATCGAATAAATATTCCGCCGGTGGATTATAACTCTCGGCATGACCTGGTAAAAATCTTTTTGGCGCTTGTATATGTTTATGTATACGTCGCATTTCCTCGGCCTGATCATCAGTTTGCCAGAGCATATAAAATTGTGGATCATTTTTTGCTTGTTGACGTTCCTTTTCCATTTCGGCGCTCGATTTTATCCAACCCATTTTTAATGCGTGCACTAATTTTGAAACTTTTTTCGCCTCAATTTTTGATGGCACAAAAGATCTCTTGTGCTCTGGGAATTTTCTCAATGGTGTTTTCATCACTTCTGACGTGAACCACTCGACCCAAGGCTAAAAATAAAAGTAGATGGAAAAAAAATCAATTATTAATTGTGATTTAATTATTTTAATTATAGAAAAAATATTGAAAAATTTGAATGAAATGAAAAGGATAAATTTTTTTAAATAAATTTCTTACTGAGTATTCGTCAAATTGAGTGTCGGGGACTTTTTGCTTTTGAATACGAGTTATTAATTGAATGTCAGCCTCGCTCAATACAACGTCCTGTCCAGTTTGTGGATCCTTAATTGTTCGCCAAAAATCGGGATCCTCCATTCGTTTCAAAAAATTATCGAGCTGATCGCCTTTTTCTGGTTTTAAAATTTTCTTTCCCTCCCAATTATAACCAATATGTTTATAATCATCGTACCATTTCATTGGTATATTTCCAACTGTATTGCGAATATCTTCCTCGTCCGAACTATCAAATTCATATTCATCCTGATTCGATTGATTTTCATTTTTACTGTTATCTGAAAATAATTTAATTACATAATTTACTTTATTATAAACTTTCTGAAAAAATAAAAAAATAGCATAGTGAACTGGGGTAAGAAACGAATTTTTATTTAAAATATTCTGATTCACTCTAAAAATGATTAAAGACCAAAAAAAATGTTTTATTACATTTATTTACGAATTTGTTTTCAGAACTTTTACCGTCAATTTCTGTAATTTCCAATTTATTGGAAACTTTTTCCACATCTTTTGATTTAATTTTAGAATTCTTTAATTCCTTATTTTTCTTTTTCAACAAATTTGATTCTTTTCCTTCAGTTTTTGTAGAAGTCAGTTCCTTATTTTTCACAATTGTAGATTTTTCTTTGCCCTTTGAATTTGTTGCTTGAATATGTTTAATGATTCTTTTATCTTTAATTGAATTTTTCTCGTCCTTCAATATTGTTTCGGATTTATTTGCAATATTTAAATCGTCGGAATCAGATTCAAATTCTAATTCACTGACTTCCTCGTTATCACTTTCCTCTTCTTCGACTTCATTATCATCATTATCATCATTATCATCATCGTCGTCGTCTTCGTCTTCGTCGACGCTCTCCTCTTCAGAGTCGGATTCAAATTCCGAATTATTAATCTCGTCGTCATCCTCGCTATTGGAATCGTTTCCCGATTCTAATTGGCTGACATCGTCATCAGATTCAAAGACAACTTGATCTTGTTCTGTGTCTGAATCTGGAATTTTATCAACTTCCCCAGTTTCCTCATCGCTACTGTCGTCGTCACCATCGTTTAATTCCGATGCTAAAAAATCCTCCGTTCCTGAATCCTAAAAATTCAACAAAATAAGAAAAATATTGAATAGTTCAAAATTTAAAAAATTGAATTTTAAATTAAACATACCGAATACTTACTTTTTTTTTATTAATATTAATTGAATTTATAATTGCCATTAAATTTTAGAAATAAGACCAAGATTTATTCTCTAATAATTTTAATTAATAAAATTAAATTAAAAAAAATTTAATTTAAAGCAAAAAAATGATGAAATTTGAGGATTTATCATGTCGATTAAAATAAGAGAGGTTATGTTGTTATTTCTTCATTTAAAAAAATACAATCGCAAAAATTAATTTTAAATATCAAAAATTCTTGAAACATAAAGAAAATTTAAAAAACTCTTAAAATACTTAAAGGTACAATTAATAATAATTTATAACAAAAATCATACCACTGCTTCTTCGGAATCACTTTCCTCCTCGTTTTGAGTAACTTCGATAACTTTTTTCATTGATTTAGAGCTCTCTTTTCTTTTTTGAGCTCTTTTTGGTGCCGCCATTCTACACTATTGTAATATTATTAAAAATGTCAGGAATATAATATAAATAAATCAATTCTATAAGTTGATAAGGTTATAATATTTTGTCATCAAAACGCACGTGGTGTGTGACTGTCGACCATATTGGATTTTCGTTTTGTTAAGGCCAACGCGCAATATAACTTCGTAGAGTCCGCCTTGAAGATAGTCGCATACTTTGTAAACTGAATATATTGTGAAAGCGCCTTTAGGACTTCTCCCGCGCTCTACCTCTACCAGACTACCAGTTGTCAGTTGATCTGAGTTGATCACAGTTGCTGCTGCTGATTGTTTTAATTTCGAAGTAATTAAATATTGTTAATTAATTACTGATGTGGGTAAGAAGAGTCACAAATTAAATATCGTCAGTTCAATTGACAAATCAATAATCCATTATTTATTAAATATAAGTCGATTCGCGGTAAGACCGCTTACAGAAAAGATAAAATTCACCAATTATTATTATATAAACAATTATAGTTCTAAAAAGACACCAATTTAGTGAATTATTAGAATGAAACTCATTGTCGATTATTATGCGATTAAGTTCCTTGCAGAGTCTGAAAAAACATCTAGAAATTTCCGAGAATTAACCGTCAAATTACAAAAATCAATCAAATCGCTGTCGGGACAATTGTATAACGTGAAGTCTACACACAGGCGTTAATCGTTCATACACGCAACTACATCGATATTATAAACATTAAATATTCAACATTCTACTATTCTACAAGTTACACTTTAATTTAGACATTCTTTAACAAACACAATAGACATCAAATTATTTCTATAACCGAATAGAGCACACATAATAATTTACTTACATACTAAACAAAAATGTTTCTTCACATTTGTTTTTGACAACATTCAAAGAAATTTATTACAATTAAAAATAAAAAAACAGTCCTAACGAGGTGATCAGTCTCAAATTTTATTTACTTAACACTTTTCTTACATGATTTTCAATAAATCAGATAAATAATTTAAGGTTAATATTTCAAACTTATTTTTCCTAACACCCGCTCTGAAACTGCAACTTTCAAAGGGTTACAAACCGAGGCGAAAGTGATACTTTTCATAACTGTTTGAAAAACCGTGGGGAAAGTAAATTGCTGGAGAATCTGTAGTATTTATTTATGTATTATTGTTATTTTTATTTTAAAAAATTAAAATAATCCATGTTGATATTATTTTTGACGGAATAAAATTTTGCTAACTAATTAAACTAACTAATTAAAGGAACTAACGAACTAAGTAAGTAAATTAACTTACTAACTTACTAAGTAACAAAATTAACTAAACTATCTAGCTAAAGAAACTAACGAACCAACTAACAAAACTAACTAGCTAAAGAAACTAACGAACTAACTGACTAACTAAACTAAGAAACTAACGAACTAAGTAACTCAATTAACTTACTAATTTACTAACTAACTAAATTAACTGAACTGAGTAACTAAATTAACTTACAAACAAACAAAATTAACTAAACTGAGTAAATAACTGAGTAAACTAAGTAACTAACTAATAAATTAACGACTCGGTGAAACTAGCGACCCGCCGGCCGCCAGCCATCAGAAGAATCCATATGCGCCGACACACATAGTAGCGCGGTGGCCCTATACCGTTCAATCAACGCAAAAACAACGTACGCTAGCCAGCGTCTCCACCCGCCCGTATCAGAAAAACGAAAATTGGAAAAAAATTCATAACTCGAATAATTTTTGACCAATTCTTTGTTTCTTGGTCGCAAATTGAAGGGGGCTTATTGCTTCTTGTCATTGGACCAATAAGAATTTTTAAAATAAATTTTTGATAGCCAGCGTCCCCACCCGTCCGTATCAGAAAAACGAAAATTGGAAAAAAAATCGGAAAAAAATGCATAACTCGAATAATTTTTGACCAATTCTTTGTTTCTTGGTCGCAAATTGAAGAGCGATTAATGCTCCTTAAAATGTGACTATTAACAATTTTTTAAATAAATTTTTGATAGCCAGCGTCCCCACCCGGCCGTATCAGAAAAACGAAAATTGGAAAAAAAATCGGAAAAAAATTCATAACTCGAATAATTTTAGACCAATTCTTTGTTTCTTGGTCGCAAATTGAAGAGCAATTAATGCTTCTTGTCATTGGACCAATAAGAATTTTTTAAATAAATTTTTGATAGCCAGCGTCCCCACCCGCCCGCATCAGAAAAACGAAAATTGGAAAAAAATCGGAAAAAAAATCATAACTCGAATAATTTTTGACCAATTCCATGTTTCTTGATTGCTAATTAAAGAGGGATTATTGCTTCTTTTTATTGGACCAATAAGAATTTTTTAAATAAATTTTTGATAGCCAGCGTCCCCACCCGCCCGTATCAGAAAAACGAAAATTAGAAAAAAAATCGGAAAAAAATTCATAACTCGAATAATTTTTGACCAATTCTTTGTTTCTTGGTCGCAAATTAAAGGGGGCTTATTGCTTCTTGTCATTGGACCAATAAGAATTTTTTAAATAAATTTTTGATAGCCAGCGTCCCCACCCGCCCGTATCAGAAAAACGAAAATTGGAAAAAAAATCGGAAAAAAATTCATAACTCGAATAATTTTTGACCAATTCTTTGTTTCTTGGTCGCAAATTGAAGGGGGCTTATTGCTTCTTGTCATTGGACCAATAAAAATTTTTTAAATAAATTTTTGATAGCCAGCGTCCCCACCCGCCCTTATCAGAAAAACGAAAATTGGAAAAAAAATCGGAAAAAAATTCATAACTCGAATAATTTTTGACCAATTCTTTGTTTCTTGGTCGCAAATTGAAGGGGGCTTATTGCTTCTTGTCATTGGACCAATAAGAATTTTTTAAATAAATTTTTGATAGCCAGCGTCCCCACCCGCCCGTATCAGAAAAACGAAAATTGGAAAAAAATCGGAAAAAAAATCATAACTCGAATAATTTTTGACCAATTCCATGTTTCTTGATTGCTAATTAAAGAGGGATTATTGCTTCTTTTTATTGGACCAATAAGAATTTTTCAAATAAATTTTTGATAACCAGCGTCCCCACCCGCCCGTATCAGAAAAACGAAAATTGGAAAAAAATCGGAAAAAAATTCATAACTCGAATAATTTTTGACCAATTCTTTGTTTCTTGGTCGCAAATTGAAGAGCGATTATTGCTTCTTGTCATTGGACCAATAAGAATTTTTTAAATAAATTTTTGATAGCCAGCGTCCCCACCCGCCCGTATCAGAAAAACGAAAATTGGAAAAAATATCGTAAAAAAATTCATAACTCGAATAATTTTTGACCAATTCTTTGTTTCTTGGTCGCAAATTGAAGAGCGATTATTGCTTCTTGTCATTGGACCAATAAGAATTTTTTAAATAAATTTTTGATAGCCAGCGTCCCCACCCGCCCGTATCAGAAAAACGAAAATTGGAAAAAAATCGGAAAAAAAATCATAACTCGAATAATTTTTGACCAATTCCATGTTTCTTGATTGCTAATTAAAGAGCGATTATTGCTTCTTGTCATTGGACCAATAAGAATTTTTTAAATAAATTTTTGATAGCCAGCGTCCCCACCCGCCCGTATCAGAAAAACGAAAATTGGAAAAAAATCGGAAAAAAATTCATAACTCGAATAATTTTTGACCAATTCTTTGTTTCTTGGTCGCAAATTGAAGGGGGCTTATTGCTTCTTGTCATTGGACCAATAAGAATTTTTTAAATAAATTTTTGATAGCCAGCGTCCCCACCCGCCCGTATCAGAAAAACGAAAATTGGAAAAAAAATCGGAAAAAAATTCATAACTCGAATAATTTTTGACCAATTCTTTGTTTCTTGGTCGCAAATTGAAGGGGGCTTATTGCTTCTTGTCATTGGACCAATAAGAATTTTTTAAATAAATTTTTCATAGCCAGCGTCCCCACCCGCCCTTATCAGAAAAACGAAAATTGGAAAAAAAATCGGAAAAAAATTCATAACTCGAATAATTTTTGACCAATTCTTTGTTTCTTGGTCGCAAATTGAAGGGGGCTTATTGCTTCTTGTCATTGGACCAATAAGAATTTTTTAAATAAATTTTTGATAGCCAGCGTCCCCACCCGCCCGTATCAGAAAAACGAAAATTGGAAAAAAATCGGAAAAAAATTCATAACTCGAATAATTTTTGACCAATTCTTTGTTTCTTGGTCGCAAATTGAAGGGGGCTTATTGCTTCTTGTCATTGGACCAATAAGAATTTTTAAAATAAATTTTTGATAGCCAGCGTCCCCACCCGTCCGTATCAGAAAAACGAAAATTGGAAAAAAAAATCGGAAAAAAAATGCATAACTCGAATAATTTTTGACCAATTCTTTGTTTCTTGGTCGCAAATTGAAGAGCGATTAATGCTCCTTAAAATGTGACTATTAACAATTTTTTAAATAAATTTTTGATAGCCAGCGTCCCCACCCGGCCGTATCAGAAAAACGAAAATTGGAAAAAAAAATCGGAAAAAAATTCATAACTCGAATAATTTTAGACCAATTCTTTGTTTCTTGGTCGCAAATTGAAGAGCAATTAATGCTTCTTGTCATTGGACCAATAAGAATTTTTTAAATAAATTTTTGATAGCCAGCGTCCCCACCCGCCCGCATCAGAAAAACGAAAATTGGAAAAAAATCGGAAAAAAAATCATAACTCGAATAATTTTTGACCAATTCCATGTTTCTTGATTGCTAATTAAAGAGGGATTATTGCTTCTTTTTATTGGACCAATAAGAATTTTTTAAATAAATTTTTGATAGCCAGCGTCCCCACCCGCCCGTATCAGAAAAACGAAAATTAGAAAAAAAATCGGAAAAAAATTCATAACTCGAATAATTTTTGACCAATTCTTTGTTTCTTGGTCGCAAATTAAAGGGGGCTTATTGCTTCTTGTCATTGGACCAATAAGAATTTTTTAAATAAATTTTTGATAGCCAGCGTCCCCACCCGCCCGTATCAGAAAAACGAAAATTGGAAAAAAATCGGAAAAAAATTCATAACTCGAATAATTTTTGACCAATTCTTTGTTTCTTGGTCGCAAATTGAAGGGGGCTTATTGCTTCTTGTCATTGGACCAATAAAAATTTTTTAAATAAATTTTTGATAGC